ATGAAGGAGACGTCATATTGGAGAAGATCCACACGAAGGACAACCCTGCAGATATGTTGACCAAAGTTGATTCAGGAGTGAAGTTTGGTCATTGTTTGGAGCTTTTGAACATTCTTCGGTGTTGAGGCCTTTGTAGGCTATTGGATGAACTACGGGCGGCTTGATTCCTTGGGCAAGAGGATACGTAGGCAACCACATTGGTGCAGCCGAATTTGGTGAGACGACGCATTGATGCTCATATTGGTGTCGGCTCAGTTTTGGGAAAACTTCACCGAGGTGGAGAATTGTGAACGTGGGGGGGTCTACCACGTGATTGAAGCCAAAAAAAAAGGAAACGCGGAAACAGAAGTGGGACGTGGGCCAACCCACGTGAAGTGAGTGTGCTGTGATGCAAACCGTGTGAAGAAAACAAAAGGCCCACCCGACTTTATCTCATAGCTATATATAGCTACGAACCTAGGTTTTCGTGAGAGCTAGTTGGGGTTTCTTTTGCGGCTGCAAATTTTGGGAAAAGCAAGGAGCAAAGGCTGTACAATTGCGGCTACGGTGTGGGCAGAAGCAAACGCAAAGAAGAAGAAAAATCGGCTGTTTTTTCTTCCGTGGCTGCGGCTTTATGCAATGATTTAATTTTATTTGGCAGTAGTGATTGTGTGCAGTCTTCTTGTGCTTTTGTAGAGAGATATTGTAAGAGGGATCTGAGAGTTTGTTTGAGGGTTTAAATTGAGTGATTGTAAACCCTAGTTGTATCTCTCCCTCTAATAGTAGATCTCCCCCTCCTTGCCCCGTGGACGTAGGCCATTTGCCGAACCACGTAAAAGTTGTGTTCTTGTCGTGATTTGCAATAGCTTGTAGGATCCATCGACGCGCAGTCCTAGAGCTGACGAGAGGAAGAGCTGATATCTCACTTTGATGAGATATCTGGCTTTTGGTTCTTGTTTCCTTTGAAAAGCAAGAATTTCATTGTGATATAATCTCTTGTTGTGCACCTTGCGCACCGGAGGTGCTGCCAAAATTTCCGCTGCGCACAACAAGTGGTATCAGAGATCCGGGTTGGATTTGGGGCTTGTTTGAAGGATTCTCTGAAGAATTCCTATTTAAAGAATTAGATCAACAACATGGGAGATACAAGCACATCGGGATCGAATCTTTCGAAGGCGATACAGAGTCTGAGCATCAATAATACAAAAATTGATGTTCCGAAGTTCGACGGCAAGATCAATTTCGGTTTGTGGAGGTGTCAGGTGATGGACGCCTTGGATGCACAAAATTTGGAGGAGACTCTTGAGTTACAAGAGAAACCCGCTGATATGGAGGACAATATTTGGAAGAAAATGAATAGTAGGGCTTGTGGAGTTATTCGGTCATGCTTAACGTCGGATCTTATTTATGACGTAATGAACGAGACGTCAGCGAAGAGAATGTGGGAAACACTCAATGAGAAGTATCTGACGAAAAGCATTGAGAATCGGCTTCACTTGAAGAAGAGGTTTTACCAATTCAAGATGAAGAGGGGAGTTTCCATTCAGGAGCATGTTAACAACTTCACGAAGCTAATTTCATACATGGCCAATGTAGATATCATGGTTGAGGATGAAGTCAAGGCGATGCTACTATTGTGTTCATTGCCGGAGGATGATTTTGGAACGTTTGTTCTCACTATGATAAATGGAAGAACTACGGTTAGCTACAAGGAGGTGACCTCAGCTTTGGTGAATTATGAGTTGAGGAAGAGTGATGGCGAACCCTCCGAGAAGGCATCGGGAGATGCATTAGCAGTTCGAGGCCGTGGTCCAAACCGTCGTCCAGGTGATCGCTCAAGATCGAAGTCAAGAGGTGGCCATAGAAATATTGGTAGGAATCAATGTCGCTTTTGCAAAGAAGAAGGACATTGGAAGAACGACTGCCCAAAGTTGAAAGATAAAGCCGGGAAGAATAAAGGAAAAGCTGTACAAGCTTCGGAAGTGAATGTGGTCAAGGCTAGTGACGACAATTCAGATACAGATTCTTCAGGCTATTCCTGCTCTGCACTACCGTCAGTTTGTTACGCTGACTCTACGGAGTGGATGATGGATTCTGGTGCTACATACCATATTTGCCCTAGGAGGGATTGGTTCTCCAGCTTTGAGGAGTTGGAAAGAGGGGATGTCGTGCTCATGGGTAATGATCACGTATGCCCTATTGGTGGTATTGGTACAGTACGGATCCGGATGTGTGACGGGGTGACTCGGGAGCTGAAGGAAGTGAGATTCGTTCCTCAGTTAACAAAGAATATCATTTCGCTTGGAACTTTGGAGGCAACTGGCTATAAGGTGATCTTGGAGAATGCTACTCTGAAGATCACAAAGGGGTCCATGGTGGTGATGCGAGGTGTCAGGGAAAATAACCTTTACTACTTGAAGGGCAAGACAGTAACAGGGGGTCTGGCAGCTTCGATTACCACAGAGGAAGATACTACCAGTTTATGGCACATGAGATTGGGACACACTGGTGATAAGTCTCTGCAGGTATTGGCGAAGCAGGGGCTATTGAAGGGTGCGAAGACCTGCAAGATGGAGCTGTGTGAACATTGCATACTTGGGAAGAAGACAAGAGTGAAATTCGGCACCGCTATTTACAATACCCAAGGTATATTGGACTATATTCACACAGATGTTTGGGGCCCTTCCAAGCACACATCACTTGGTGGGGCCAACTATTTTGTTACTTTCATTGATGACTATTCCAGGAGAAATTGGGTATACCCGATGAAGCATAAACATCAGGTCCTGGATATTTTTGTGGAGTAGAAAAAGAAAGTGGAACTGCAGACAGGTAGAAAGGTGAAGACTCTACATTCAGATAACGGTGG